CTGCATGTCACTTGTTTCCAAAATACAAGATAGGATCAATTTTCAGTTTTACAACAGGTTGCAATTTTATATCTGCTAACTGGGAGCAAGTCCCACTGAATTCAGTGGGTCTTAACTTCCTAGCAGCAATGCAAAGGACTGCATTGATTTTAGCTAAGATCTATTTTGATTTTATGTTTTATCATCAGGACACATATGTATATGTGTGCTGATAGGTAACATACACGTGACATGCAAAATGGCAACACCCTTGTAATGGCCTGCACATTGTTCCTTGGTTTCCTTTAGACCTCACAGTAAGGATGAAATAATGATATGGAAATGGAAAGTTACCATCTACTCCAACTGGACTCCCTTTATTTCAGTTTTATTATTTCCATGTGCAAGAAGTAAAAGCCAATTCCAATCCCTGAGATTTCTGGCATTCTCACTAGGAACTTCATCCAGAAAAAAAAATGTAGAGGCTTTTTTGTTTTGTTTTCACGAAACAGACATATCAAACACTAAAACTTCACTTTCATTGTGAAGTGAATATGTGTGAGAAATTAATAACACAGCTCAATCTTTTGCGTGCCTAAAGTAACATTTTCCCTACAACATATACTGTATTATAATATCTTTAAAATAAATCTAAGCTTACCTATATATTTCATGAAAAAGGACAATGGCTTTGCTAACTAAAGGGATAAAAATGTACAAAAAGATGTGATATTTTACTGAGAAAGGGGGAAAATGGAAAGCAAAGCAAACAAGGCAATTTTATGGAAATAAGAAAAAAAAAAAACACAACTACCCAAGACCTGTGATTTTCTGTTAGTTAGGCAGGCAAGAAAGCAAGGGTATTGTTTTACCATTTACCTCTGTCACTCAGATTTTTTTTTCTATGCTTCTCTTTAGACACCAAAAGAAGAAGAAATAAGTACAGTGGTGCCCCGCTTGACGATTACCTCATTAGACGACGAAATTGCTTTACGATCAAGTTTTTGCGATCGCAAAATGATGTTTTAATAAGGAAAAACCGCTTTACGATGATTGGTTCCCTGCTATGGGAACCAATTTTTCACTTTATGAAAAATTATTTCTGAAAAAATTATTGTGGCCAATCACATAATAAGCCTTACACAGAATAAGTTATGGAACAGGATTTCAGCCAGAAAGTTAGGCACAATTATATTTATACTGATTTTTAAAATTAGTCCTATAAAGTAAGAAAATGTGTCCTGACATTTTATGTGTCTAATGGTATTTGTGCATTACCGACATAAAACTACCACCATGTTTTATGCTATTAAATTATATTAATGTAATGCATTGTATTGTATTGTGTCACACTATGTCTTTCACTGTATTTAAGATATTTTGATTTGCATTTTAATTTTTGATGTTGTCTTATTTTGTTATTTTACTGTTTCTATCTAATTGCTGTAAACCGCCCAGAGTGGCCTTGGCTGCCAGATGGACATTATATAAATTAAATCAATCAATCAATCAATGGTTGTGCATAATGCAATTAGTTCTGAAAATTAACTTTCAGTCATGGATTTATATGATGTCACTACAAATCTTTCAAGATACCTGGTTCACCTATCATTATGCAAGATAATGTTCCAGAAGGCTTTTAATTGAAATAACAACTGTGGGTCCTGATGATGGCAATTTTAATTGTATTTTAATTGTATTTTAATCATTTTATTGTACTGAATTTTAATTATTGTAAGCCGCCCAGAGACCTCTGGGTAGAGTGGGCGGCATATAAATTAAATAAATAAATAAATAAATAAAATAACCTGAATCAATGCAGAAAGTACTTTTCTCTCAGGACTTACCATCACTTGTAAACATTAAACTAATTACAACAAAATAAATTTACCCTGTTTTCTAATTAAGAACAGAAGTGAGAAGTTGCACAGTTACCTGGTCTGAGTTATGTCTGTGCACAATGAAAGTGTAATTACATTAACAAGTAGGAACAATGTTAATTTACTGGTGCAACAAATAATAGCGTTTAATAACCTTTATGAGTTATTTTAGAGTATATTTGTAGATTTTATGACATTTTGACAGGTATTTTTCAAGTTTTATGCCATTCTGTCATGAAATTATGTGGTGTTTCCCCCCCCCAAAAAAAAACAATAAAAAAGAATGACTGAAACAACATATAGCAGAACAAGAAATAAATTTGCTTTTTAAAGTTATAATTCCAAGCTTTGCTTGAGCGTGAGTGCAAGAGTTGACATGTTGATGTAATCACAATTATTTCCGCCGAAACACATCTGGCAGGTTGCCAAAGGCAAGCAATATATTTTAAACAATGCTGACAGAAAGAAGTCAAAAGGTCTGGAAGGGCCCACATGCTTTCCCAAGCTCGCAAAAATGGTAGCTGAGCCTCCTCCACTTGGGCTGAAGTTCTGAAACAATGCTTACTTTAGTATCAGAGTGAGGATAAGCAAAAAATCTTCCTGGCTCAAGGTCTTGGTCTATTTCAAGCCTTCTTGTGAAAGCTGTAACATTGGATAAGGAAAGTGTACCTGCAAACACTGGAAAGCATTGGTGGATACATACAGAGGAACAGCAATAGTCTAAAGATACCCACAGTGTTTGCTGTGTTTTTTCAAATGCATTTTTCTTTCTAATTTCACAATCTTTTGCAATGCAGATAAACAAATATGATATTAGAATCACAGGATCATTACCAGTAATCAGGAGGTAGAAATGAGTGTGAAGCTGAAGCTATTTTAACACTCAACTCAAGCATCCAAGCTACAACAGTCTAATCTTAACCGTAACCGATTAGGAATGAACACACCCAGCCCTCTCTTTTCAGTGTTCCACAGAACTAAAAAAACAGTCAAGAGGAATTTAGCTTATTAAAGGCCTTCATATCCAACTTAAAAAAAATGAACTTAAAGCAATCAAGCATTACAAAAATGAACCTCAAAAAAGTTCCTTAAAAAGGTATTAGACCTTAGGAAATACCTCTAACCAATTGTTCTATTTTTCTTACCATAGCAGTGTCTGCAATACTAAAACATAGTGAACGAAATCCTGTTGTGGAACTTTATGTCATACAAATCTGATGAGGTCACCAAGCAAAGCATTTTATCATGGATTAGATGTTTCAAATTACATATTCCCATCCATGGGGTCATGAAGAGTCAGACACGACTCAATGACTAAACAACAACAACAACTCCAGATTCTGAGGCAACACTAGGCCTCCTTTTGTTCCAGGTAAGCCCTTTGATGCTTTGGAACTTGAGGGAGAGGAATCTTTAATGTCCAAAGGTCCCCCTCCCTATTCTTGTCCCCCCAAAGTCTTCCTAGGATGAAAGAGACCCCAAGAGAACCTAGGAATCTCGGGGAGGGGAGGAGGAAACAACAAAAAATTGCAGCTGATAACATCATTAGACTTGCATAGTGTGAAGCTGTACAACAGGATTTCAGCAAATATATTTTGTTAGTTATAATTTATTTCTCAACATGCTATTACTACAAGTACTAGTATATTAAATATTTAAATATTTTAGAGAGATATTTCAACATTATTCACCCCAGTCTTCATTTCCAAGAGTTGAGTGACAAAGAAAAGTAGAGACACAGAAGTATGCTCCTAACTGAAACTTACTGTATTTTTCGCACCATAAGACGCACTTTTTCCCCACAAAACAGGGGGGTGGAAAGTCTGTGCATCTTATGGAGTGAAGAAAACAGATTATATTTTCCTGTTTTCTTCTCCTAAAAAATTGGTGCGTCTTATGGAGCGAAAAATACGGTAAGTTGTTTTCACTGTGGTCCTTACTGCCAAGGCAGAAGCATTTTTTTAAGCTTAAGAGCTGCTTGTGTTCCAGCAGTAGTGATGCTGCAGCAAAAATTTTAAAAATGCCATTTGTTTCTTGTCCCACACGTATCACTTTTGGATACCAGCCTTACATGAGGAAAGTTGCTGGCAACTGCTAGCAAATAAACTCACATAATTCAGAATTCTCAAAATATGCCAACCCCCCCCCCTACAATTATTACCAAACATTCAAAATTCTTTCCAACTCTCATAATACAGTCATGTATCAACCAAAATAACACATTAAACAAGGTATGATTTGGTAATCACTTTGCAAGCAGTGTTATTTTTATTAAGCTGTGATTTAAAATTCACAGGAGCTGAGAATTTGGGTAACATAGTTATGATGTGCCCCAACATTTTGAATGCTTAAAAATGTATTTTTACTTTCTCCAGGCGATGTCCTTCTAAACCCCAACTACCAGATCAGTCATCATTTTTTGCTAAAGACACACCTTCACAGTTACACTACTGAAATGTAAGACTAGAGAACGAGACTATAGGTCACTGAATTCATACTTTGAGGAACATTAAACATGCCCTTAATTCTGTAACAAAAACCACTAATATTTTTTTTAAAAAAACAACTTTAGTCAGATAATGGCCAAATTTTTTTCTTTCACTTTCAATTTCAGTTTGAACTATACACTTTCTAAGACTATGGACATATGTATTTTAAATCAATTATTAAAGGTAAAAATTCTGAGCAACAAAACAAATGAGACATATTTCTCCATGTTATCAGGAAACCCGGCACATTTCTAAAATATTTCAGCTAAAATCTTTTATCCCAAATTTATCATTTTCTTTGCCTTTAAAAATGCACCACCACTTTTATAAACAAACATGGTCAAAATTCATATCCTGAGAGAACACTTTAGAGTAAAGGAAGGACTGTTGTGTCACAGCTCGAAGAATCAAAAACAGAGCAGTGTTTCTGCATAACTTCCGACACTTCTGACAGAATCATGTATAACTGCTGACTGAAGCTGATGCAAACTATTAAATGAATTATTTCCCATTCATAATACCCTGACAATTAAATATAGATAGGGAAATCAATCTGGAAAGCACTGTTGTTTTTTTTTTAAAAATATTCTTAATGAAATAAATAGTATTAAGTAAGCACAAAAATGTTCCAATATCACAATTTGTACATTACCTGAACAGTGGAACTAATTTCAGCTGCAAAGCCTCCTGTAACAGGAGCTTCATGACTGATCAGCAAACGTCCAGTCTTTGCCACTGACTGAAAAAGAAAAAAAAGAAAACACTTTTCTTTTAAAAATGCATGTCTATGCAATTTTATTTGGCAACCAGAATATGCAAAATATGCATGGTTTCATTTTGAAATATTATTAAAGCCAGAAATTTATTATTAAAAGACAGGCATGCATATTTATGGAGTATCTCACCACTGCAAGCAATCTACAGAGTTTACACCTCTGGACACCACTGATTCTGGAGGTGCTACCACTAGTCACAAATCAAGGGATCAAGATGCTACAACCTACCAAGGATGACAGATGGTTGTATACAAGGTGAATCTGTAATATTAGTGGTGCCTCACTGTAATTTGTAGAACACCTCTTTACTGAGGACTAACAGATATTTACGCCATCTGTGCGTCACACATGGTTTAACTTTTTTGCTAACTCCTAACGTTTTTCCAAATAGATTTGCTCAGAAAATTCCCTCCAAATATAGTGGAACAATTTTATCATATTTAAGAGCCCTCAGTTCTTACAAATACATAGATTGGCCATTTTAACCTTGCCTCCTTAGGGGTCAAGCCCTCAAGCTGCTAAAAAATCTAAACAACGGTCCTTGGCCTTACTGAGAATGCCCCCTCCCCTGAACTGCAAACTTCAGTTTTACAATTACTTCTGATGTCACCATACTGTAAAACATGTTGTTTCCCTGATACCCTTTCCCCCCTTTTAGTAGCTGAGTTTAAGCATGAGGTAAAACGAGAGTGGTTTCAATAATCAAAAACAACAAGGGAGTAGATTTGTCTAAAATTTAATATAGCAATATAACAAAATATGATCCATTCTATAAATGAAGTACTATAAGCATAGGTTCCATAGGTTACTATCCCTTTAAAAAAAAAGGAATCATTCACCTACAGCACAAATGTTTCTGTAACTTTAAAATATACAGTGGTGCCTCAACTTATGAATGTCTCTACTTATGGCCATTTCAAGTTACGACCAGCTCCGGCCGCAAAATTTTGCTTCAACTTGCGACCAGAGCTTCCACTTACGAACAGAAAAAGGCAGGGGGAAAGGGCGGGAAATTCAAATTTCTAACTGTGGGTAGTGACGAGGCTGCTTCTTTGTAGCTCTTTTGCCCCAGCAGTTAGAGTGTGTGCGTCGGAGGAGGCTTCAGACTCCCTCCTTCTGCTTCTAAGTGAGCATATGTGTGTGTGTGTCTGCAGGGAGGCTTCGGGCTGTCTGGTAAGATGCTGTTTTCTGCCTTTTAAAAACTGTTCTGAGTGTTTTTGCAGTGTGGTTTTTGAGCTGGGGGTGTTATGTTTCTGTGCTGGGTCTTGGGGGGTTTGTTTTTTGTTTTTCCCCCATTTCTAATGGGTCTTGGGGGATTGGGGGGGTTCCCCATTTCTGATGGGTCATGCATGCTTCCCTTGCTTTTTCCTGTTTTCTTTGCACTTCCGATCTGCCCCCTTTGTTCTCTATGCATTTCTGATCTGCTCTGTTTGTTTTCTGTGCATTTCCAATGGGTCTTGCATGCTTGATTTCTTTTCTTCCCCCTCCCCTTCGGCCGGAAGGGATTAATCGTGTTTCCAATGAGTCTTGCAGTGTTTTTTTTTTGGGGGGGGGGGTTTTTTTTTTTTTCTTCGGCCAGAACAGATTAATTGCATTGCAATGCATTCCTATGGGAAATTGTGCTTCAGCTTATGGTCATTTCGAGTTACGTCCATCTTCTGGAACGGATTATGGTTGCAAGTTGAGGCACCACTGTACCTATGTTAAATCACCGGTTCCTCTCACTAAGCAACTTAACTATGGATGAATGCCAGCACTCTTGTAGGTTTTTTGTTTGTTTGTTTTTTGTTGATGCGATCGTGCAAATGCCTGCTGGCTTTGGCCTCACTTGGTGGACTTGTGTCTGTGTATACCAATAAAATCCTCCTGCTCATGTCTGAACATTCAAGGTCTACTGTGTTTCTGCAAATGACAGTACTGTGTAGCTCTGTCCCAAATCATAGCCTTTCATGTTACCCCATCCCTAAGAATGGTTTTTTTTTTCACAGAGATCCAGAAAACATACACACAAGTACTGTCATGAACCCAGGTAAGAATCAGGAAAGATTGTCCTTGCAACAACATAGAGTAAATCAAAACCTATCTGTGTGGCTTTTATTCAGGTATAAATTGAGTTGGGGGGAAGGCAATGTCAAATATACATGTTCTTTCATTGCTGTATTATAAACTTATCAAACAAATAAGGAAATTAAAGCAATAATTTCAAGTGCTTAAAAACCAAGCTTGGTTCAAAGGTCACTGAAATGCTTTTCATCTATAATAGAAGCTTGTTTTTTTAAAAATAATTCACTAAATGGCAGAAAACAAACCTGCTCAATATACAGGTTTGCTTTACTTTGTCAACCAAGAATATCAGCAAGTACAATTATTTATTATCTAAAATGACAGGCATAAAAACATAAGGAACTGATGAGGTGTCAAAACCGCAAACAGAAGCCAAATAGTTTTACTGTTGTTACATGCCATCAAGTCACCTACAACTTAGGGCAATATATGAATGAATGAGCTCCAAAATGTCATGTCCTCAACAGCTCCGCTAAGCTTTCAGGCCTATAACTTCTTCTAATGAGTCACTCTCTTATTTAGTCTTTGTCTTTTCCTGTTACTTTCAGTTTTTCCCAAAATTATTGCCTATTCCAGAGACTCCTGCCTTCTCATAATGTGCTCAAAGTAGGGCATCCTGTTTCAACATGTCTGCCTCCATTGATAGATTAGGCTTCATTTGATCTAGGACCCATTTGTTTGTTTTTCTGGCAGTCCAAGGTATTTCCAAGTTCTCCTCCAGCACTACATTTTCAATGAATCATTTCCCCCAGCCCCCTGTCAGCTTTCTTTACTGTCTGGCTTCCATACCCATATAAAGTGATCAGGAATACAGTGGTGCCCCGCTAGACACTTATCCTGGTAAACAACGAAATCGCTTGACAACTTTTTTGCGATTGCTATTGCAATCGCAAAACAATGGTTCCTGTGGGGGAAATCCACTTTACGTTGATTAGGTCCTTGCTCCACGAACGGTTTGTTCGTAAAACAATATTTTTTCCGGCTCTGCAAAATGGCTTCCCTCCCTTCACAAAATGGCTGTTTTCCGGACAGAAGCTTCGGAAGACAGCGATTTTAAACAGCTGATCGGTGGTTCTCTATGGGCGATCTTCCCTGGACGATGAGGTATTTCCCCATTGGAATGCATTAACTGGTTTTCAGTGCATTCCAATGTTTTTTTTTCGCATGACGATTTCGCTGTACAGCGATTTTAACTGAATGGATTATCGTTGTCATGCAGGGCACCACTGTACAAGAATATAGCTTATCTTGGTCTTCGTTTCCAGTGACAAGTCCTTACACTTGATTATCTTTTCTGATTTCTTCACTGCCGCACTTCCAAGTCTCAGCTGTCTTCTGATTTCTTTGCTGCAGTCTCCATTTGGACTGATAACTGAACCAAGGTCCACAAAATATTTCACAATTTTAATTTCTTCACTGTCAGCATTAAAATTGTATAGTTCTTTGTAGTCATGATTTTTGTCTTCTTCATGTTCAACTGCAGTCCTGCTTTGGCACTCTCTTCTTTCACTTTTACTAAAAGTCATTTCAAGTCATTGCTTCTTTCTGCCAGTAAGGTGTCATCTGCTTATCTTAAATTATTGATATTTCTTCCACCAATTTTCACTTGTCTTTCATCTGAATATAGTCTGGCTTTCCGAAAGTATATGTTCCACATACAGATAGAACAGATATTAAACTTGAACACTGGGCCCTATCCAGTAAGATGCAGTTCAGTGGCAGGAAAAGTAAGGTCCTGCATTTAGGCAGGAGAAACCAAATACACAGGGGTACATGATAGGTGGTACCTAGTTCGACAGCAGTATCTGTGAAAGGGATTCAGGTGTCCTAGTGGACCACTGCCTAAGGATGAGTCAGCAGTGTGCTGCAGCTGCCAAGAAAGACAACACAGTCCTGGGCTGCATCAACAGGGGGAAAGCATCAAGGTCATGAGAAGTGATAGCACCACTCTATACTGGTGAGGCCACACTTGGAGTGCTTTCTACAGTTCTGGTCACCACAATACATAAAAGACGCTGAGCCCTGGAAGGGGTGCAGAGAACAGCAACCAAGATGATAAGGGGACTGGAGGCTAAATCTTATGAAGAACGACTAAAAGAACTAGGTATGTTTAGCTTAACTAAGAGAAGACTGAGGGGAGACATAATAGCGGTCTTCCAATATCTGAAGGGCAGCCACAGGGAAGAGGGCATCAATTTATTCTCCACTGAGCCTGAGGGCAGGACAAGAACCAATGGGTGAAAAGTTGTCAGAGGGAGATCCAACCTGGAAATAAGGAGCAATTTCCTGACAGTGAGAACCATTAATCAGTGGAACAGCTTGCCTCCTGATGCTGTGGGTGCCCCATCGCTGGAGGTTTTCAAGAAAAGATTGGACAGCCATCTGTACGGGATGGTATGAAGTCCAGGATGGTATGAGGTATCCTGCCTTGAGCAGGGGGTTGGACTAGAAGACCTCTAAGGTCCCTTTCCACCCTACGATGATTTTATGATTCTAATATTGTGTCCTAAGTGTAGCATCTTGTCCACAAGACAGGTTACACATCAGGACAATCTAGTGCTGAGGCACACCTATGTCTTTCAGAAAAACCCATTTCTCATGATCAATATAATCAAAGGCTTTGCTACATACCATGAAGCATACACTTATTTTTTTTCCTGAAAGCCTTTTGTCTGCTAGTAGCTAGTGGGTATTTGCAATATGATCTCAAATGCCTCTTACTTTTTCAAATCCATCTTGAACATATCAGGCATTTTTCACTCCATATAAGGTAAAAGCTTTTGTTGCAACACCTCAAGCATCACTTTGCTTGCAGGGGAAATTAAAGATATGGTCCTATAGTGACTGTACTCCTTGGTATCTCTTGGGGACTGGAACGCATACTGAATATTGCCAATCT